TGTCAAATACAGTTAGTCATACTACCACGTTATCCTGATTTCAATTTATATCAATTTCCTACATGGCATTTACTCATTTGATAGGAATAACTTGTAGCCTGAGGCACAAACACAACCTCTCTGTTGTTTGTGTTTTGACAGTTATAAATAAATTGTTTGTTTTTATTTCCCATTAGTTGGGTTTCCAACAGATTCTTACATAGTTCTTGCGAAATGTGCTTACAACTGCCTTATACGCTGCCTGAAGATGTAAAGGTGTACCTTCTCAAAATATTTAAATGTGGCCATCAGCAAGCTGTTGGCTCTTAAGAAATGCTTTTCTTTTTATCCATTTAGACCTGCAGCTATTTATAATGGGCCATCTAGATTTTAAAGTGTAATAAGTCATTAGGGCCCCTTTGTCCAATAGACTTAGTGTATGAAGGTCTACAGGCTGTTTGTTTTCCACAGTAATAAAAAAAGCAAACAAAATAATGAATATGAGTTTCAGTCTCTAAATTGTTTGGGCTGATGTCATTGCTGAGAACTGCTCTACAGTAAGTAAGCCCACATTCTATTTCAGATCTTTTCATTTTCATTTTCCTGGTACTAGGACAATGCACACACATGTCTCAAACAACCTTTCAAGCACTGCAAAACTCAGCCCTCTAGTTCATCTCATATTGACTCAGCCAGCTCACCTCTGTGTGGAGTGGAAACTCAGAAAGGTGTCATGACAACAAATAGCCTTTTTGTTGTTGCACTCAGTAGAGAAGTGGCACACTCTGCCAGCCATCTGTCTGCCTTCAGTCTCATCCCTTGTGTTTGAGTCTTTAATATGTTTCTGAAGATACGGGTTGCAGCAGGACCCTACTTGTACATGTGCCATGATCAGATAGCAGGCAGATCCGACATCTCGTGTAAAAGTTCTTGCAATGTAACTTTGATTCAGTCCAGTCCCCCATGGTCTAAAATGGTCTATTTAATACATGAATGAATCTAAAAAAATCCACTGACTGTTGATTGCTGTTTCTAAATGATATAATGTTCTATCCAATAACATAGTAATACAGGTCACAACAAATATGTTGTTAATGGTGTATCACAGAAAGTTTACATGAATAGCCTGTATTCATAAATAAATAAATGTATTGAATCAAAGTTGGCTCCTCTATGATGGCCATTCTTTCATTGGGTATCAATCAAGTTTATTTATATAGCACATTTTTAAAACGATTTTTAGTCGAGCCAAAGTGCTGTACATACAATAAAATACTTTACAATAAAGACACTTTACAGCAAATACAGCAGCACAGTTTTGTACAGAATATCAGTATGAGAAAACAACACCCTCTGTCCTTAGACCCTTCACATCGTACAAGGAAAAACTTCCAGAGAAAAGGCATGTATGATGATATGCCGTGCTCAAGTATCTAAGATTAGAAGAAAACAGGAGGTAGGACTGTTCTGTAGAGACCTAAACATGCTCTAAGCTCTTAGGGCCAGGGCTCAAAAACATGAGCCTCTGAATTTAATATTGCACTACCATAAAGTAAACTCAGAAGAAAAAAAAGGTCAACATTAAAGCAGCAGCAGAGGCCATGGTATCTGACTTTCAGTATGCAGGTTAGACAGCGTTGCAACCTTTGATCTACTCGTATATCTCCCACGCACCTGTCTCATGAAATAGATGTGAAAAATGTGTTTTGCTTTCATGTTGCCTCAACATCACATGATCGCAAATATTTGTAGTATGTTGCGATGTTCCCAGCTTTTAATTAAGAACATGACTATGCTATAGAAGCCTTCAAAGCATCCTATAGAGAGGAGGGCTCTGAAATATGCTGTTTCTCGTTGCCGTCTCCGCAGCTTTAAGCTCTCATGACAGCTGCCCTGTTGTGGACTTGATGGGCCATAGCACTGTCCTCCTCATTCCTCTGTGAATTGAGTGCATGCATTTCTGAATGTGCACTGTGACCTTATGGAAGAATGAAAGCATGCAAACAATCACAATCCCCGATTTGGAGATGAAATGGGTCTTAAAAATACAGTAAGATTAGCACAGACGGAGGATTGAATGTCAGCAGGAGACTATGTTTAAAGTAGAAACTGTTATTACATGAATACATGGCCCCGTTCTGCTCCTTATAAAGCTGCCTTTTACTGCATTAGTCTCTTTATCCTGCAATGGCAAAGCCACTTCAAGTAGCAACATGACATTTACACACCAACCCTCGTCTTAATGAGCAGGGGAGATGAGTGTTTGTCTGGCAGAAGTGCACTGCATCGCCCCTTAGCATGCTGCCATCAATAGGAAAGCAAATAAGTAATTGACCTTCTCTCCCCTTTCAATGTGGGAAATTGGAGCCTTACATTAGAGCTACATGAATCTTATTTTTAATCTCAGACACAGTGAGTGAGACCTAAAATGTATTCTCTTGTGTTATTTCTTTGAAACATGTATGCCCATGAGCGTTCAGAGATGCTACAAAGGCTTCACCACACTTCTATTTTGTGTGGGTTAAACAGCTCATGGAGGAAGGGAAGGGGTTGAGGAGTGTGATGGAAGAAAGAACAGAAGGTGGGTCCTGAAGGAGAGGCCCTTGCTTTAACCAAGCTTATCTCGCTCCCTAATTTCAGTTTGGGCCATCAAAGTGTTGAGAGCCAGCGTCGCTAGGGGCGGTTTGTAAGTTTGACCGCTACCTGTGACAGCAATTACAGGTTCCCCTTCAAGCCTGCCTTTGTTATGGTGGCAGACTTGACTGCTTGGGTAGAACAAGAATTACCTCAACGTTCTGCAACTGGAGGCATAATCAAAGTCCCACAATGCAAGGTGTCATGCCCCTCTAATCAGCCAAGCAGCCCCTGCCAATGTGTCTCCCTGGTCCCCTTTTATCAAGTGGGTTGCTGTGACATTATTGTAATTAAAATGATATGTTTAGGGTTTTCTCACACTTTGCTGTTGCTGAGCACTACTTCACACGAAAAAAAGGAAGTAGAGGCTCCGTACCAGGGGTGGACTGGGGACTAAAAATCAGCCCGGGAAACTCGACCGGCCGACTGGCCCAACTCGGTACCGCTAGTCAATTGTCAACGGGAGGGGGGGTGGTAGTGGAATGTCCGACCGGCCCACTTCGGTACCGGCCCACCGGGAAAACTCCCGGTATTCCCAATGGCCAGTCCGCCCCTGCTGCGTACCTGTAGCTATGGAATTGTGAGACTAAAATGATGTCTGCATGCACACTTTATTGCCTTTTGTCATACTAACATTTCAAGTGGAGAATGGAGAGTTATTTCCAGTTGGAAGCCCTTCAGAAAGCCAAGAGTTTGCCGTGTACTCGCTAAGACATGGCTTTGTCTACATGTGTGTCAGGACCCAGGTCTATGGTTGCTTATGTAGACAGCAGGGGGTCTGCATTAAAGAAGAACCCTCTAATACCCAGGGAGTACAGCAGTCCTCAAACTTAAAGTAGCTGGGAAAAAATAAAAGCTCTCGAGCGGTGCTGAAATCTCAAGAGAGATGTAAACTCTGAGTAAGCTCATTCACATCACTGCGAAAGGTTCAGGGTTTGTAACATATTGCAGTGCGATGTGCTGAGATGCACAGTGGTGTTCTACGATGATATAGAATCAAAGAAAAACACATGCATTCACTGTGTTGGCTTAGTTGCTTAATTGACAGTGTTATGTTGCCCTGTGACGAGGCAAATTGGAATGATATATGGTTGTCTGAATGTTGTGTATATTCAGCAGAAGAAATACATCTGCATGCAAATGTTTCATTCTCTTCTCTCTCTTAGCTTCTAAATGTTGCCACTACCTTCGCCTGTGATGGAGAAAGGGTGCACAATGTGTGTCTACCTGTATTGACTGTGAATGGGTGCTGCATAGATATATGTGATAAGTGAGACAGTTTTTCAGTGAGGCTTCGGCTATTAGCATTTCACGGTTGTGTGGATGTGTGAGTGGAGAAGTTGCTCGGTAACATCGCCTCGCCTTTGATTAAAGGGCGTTAACATTATTTTCCCAAGTCCCAACATATCGAGACTGCCTGAAAGGTTCAGGGCTGATTTAAAGAAGTACACTGCATGTGGTACTCTTTTCAACCCATGATTTGTTTTTTAAATGTAGAATCAATGTGTTTAATCAAATAGCAGTAATTATATTTGGTTTATGAAAAGCATGTAAAAGTGTGCAGTGCCTCTTTAAATCAATTCAATCACACATTGGAAGGTATGCTTTGTGTGTTACAGAGATGTCAAAGTATTTTAAAATGTTTCCGTTTTATGGAGAGAAAAAAAATCGCTGCTTTATTCTTAAGAAAGCAGCTTAGTGGGAGTGAATAGTCATATAATAATACCCTTTATTCTCCATTAGGTAACACCTTCCTCTTACCTTTAAAAGGTTCACATATATTATTATTGTGATATAATTAACATGGTGGAAAAACCTTACATATAAATAAAGCTTGACCTTTTACTTGACATAATTGAGAGTATTTCCTCGGATTCAGAGTGAGTCAGGTAAATGTGATTACACTAATGTGCATTTACTTGTGGTCGTCCATTCTTGGCTACAAAGTAATTACGTTTGAATCTCAACCAGTGTTGTGTAATTTTCCAAATAATGAAGCATAATTGAATCCCTAAACGTCAATATAAGTAAAAGTGTGTGTGTTTACTGCCTATCGTCCCTGTGTTGTAAATTGTTTGCAACAAATGAGAACTTATTAAAAATTAACCCAAATGGAGCAGTCTGGCTCTCAGATCTGCTGCCACGTGCAATTTCTGTTTTGCTAAGGCGAGGTGGAGGACTTAGCCTTGTTGTTCAATACTCTGTGAGTAATTGAAACAGACTTTTTGCACCCGGTGTCTTAAGCAGTAAATCCTTCGCATTAAAAGAGAAAAAATATGCCGACTAGATTGTAAAAAATATAACATCTATGAGACGTTTTTACTGGCAGAAATTCTTGAGAAATCTATAATTCTACTACTTTTCTCTTTGTTCCTTTCCTCTTTCAGGTGGATTTGCTTCTGCTTACCAAGGTCACAGGTGTCATCACCCAGGGAGCTAAAGACTTCGGCCACGTCCAGTTTGTTGGCTCTTACAAACTGGCGTACAGCAATGACGGAGAACGGTGGAAAATATATCAAGATGAGAAACAGGGGAAGGACAAGGTAAGGAACTTTTACAGCCCATAATGACCACAATTAAACACAACTTGCACAATATTAACAGATGATTCGCTGACAAAACTGTTACTTTATGAAAACACATCTTCCTTGCCATGCACTCATAGCAAACATACTGAACAATGTGGTGGAATCAAAAATGTGTGTCTGTGAAAACTACTGAAAGTTTTAAATTATATATCACATCACAAAAGAAAAGGGCATTCTGGGTAGAGATATAGTTAACAGGAAAAAGGCACAGGAAGGACAGAAAGCCGAAGCAGACGGAAACACAAAACTGCAAATGTCAAAAGGTTTTTTAAGTATTGTGTGAAAAATCCCATTTCAGATCTGTCTGTTACTTCCTTCCACTTCCCTTTAGCATTTTTCTTATCTGTGGCTCGAAACTGAGTTCCCCTTGTCTGTCCCGCTGCCTCTCTGTGCTCCAGAATCAGATAAGTCTGTGCTGTCATCCTGGCCTGGCTGGTGCTATGCTGGAAATCGTGTTTATGGCCCTTCAACAGAGTACATGTCCATTCCAATCGCCCACGACAACAGAGACAGGGCTGCAGCAGCCTCTCTGCTGATATCAGGAGAGCTGTAGGCACACTGGTGCAGAGCTGGAGCCCCTTGTTTTTCAGAGACTGGTGGCAGGAGAGGGGAGTGTGTTTACTTTTCTCTCTCGCCTTCAACGATAACCAAACTTCTTCTGCTATTCTGGTGTGGTGTGGTTGACGATAGTAAATCAAGAAATGGAGAAACCGTTTTAGACATCGAAAATTAGCCTAAATCCATGTTTTTCCTGTTAAATGACATGCCAAACTTAAACTGAACCCAAAACATTACAGAATACTAATCACAATAAACATATTTTTGCCAAGAAATGTATACTTTTATCTCGGCAGAATGAACGTCCCCAACATTTTAAACTTTTTCATTGATCAGATTAACACATTTTTTTACCTCTGGAGGAAAATGGACATTGGAAAAATATAATCGTGGACATATTTTTTCACGCTCTGTGGTGCCATTGTTTTCGTATTTGGAAAACATATCTGAGATATGGACCAGTGATGGAATGGTTGCATTCTGTGGCTATTTGTCCTGACGGCCGGAAATAGTGTTATGGTGTTGTCATTGTCTACATTGTCACTGGTATTGTATAATTTATTTGTATTGTATAATTATTGTTTGTTTTACTTGTCTGGTTTTTATTTTTATTTTTTATTTATTTATTTTTTGTTCTATTTTTTCCTTTTCCCTTTTTATGTTATTTTCATGGCTCTGTGTTTAAGTTATATTGATACGCATTTTTTGGTTTTGCCTGTGCGGGTATGTGGGTGGAGGGAGGGAGGGAGGGGGGAGTGTAGTGAGTGTACTGTGATATTACAATATAAATGAAATGGCATCGATTATTGTACACTATAATGAAATAAAAAGACTTGTAAAAAAAAAAAAAAAAAAAAAGAAATGGAGAACTAATAGAACTTATACATATCAGTGGCAACCCCCCCCCCGCCCGTTATAATGTCCGTTTTTTCACTGAATTGTCGTCTTGAAAAGTGTACGGACAACAATTCCGCAACAACATCATCTTCACCTGTTGCCATTTCACGGTTAAACTAACGGGTTTTCTAGAGCAGTGGTTCTCAACTGGTGGGTCGCGACCCAAAAGTGGGTCGCGAACCCGTTTCGAGTGGGTCCCGGATGTGTGAGTGAAGAAAAAAAAGTTGAAATAAAGATTTGGAATTTCTTTTTTTTTTTTGGAAAAAAGTCAAACTTTTATTTTGAAGGCCCGATTTTCTAACGCTGTGCATGCAGTAGGCGTTGGACTGGAAGTACCGGAGACCATAAACGGTTTTTGAAAAACTTCTGTCACGTAGTGATCATCTTCTCAATAAAACATCTTTGCTGATGTTTTTTCGAGTCTTTCTGGCCAATCAGAATCAAGATTGTTGCCGGAAGTCCCCACGGAGAATAACTTTGCGGTAGAACTCTTCTTTATACATCCATGGGTACAACTTCAGATAGAAATGAACACATGATGAAATATGACTCCCGGTTTGATGACTGACATGTCACAGAACAATGGGAGCTATCTACCCCCTACCACAATTTTAAAGTAATTCACACAGACTATCTCCCTCTTTGCTCTTCTCTCTGTGTGGAGCATGCAAGTTCAGCTGTCGGAAACAAAGTGAAACAAACAATGGCATACAATATATTAACATGTCGGGTAAGTAATAGATTAGTTATTTCTTCTCAGAGTGTACCAGAATGCGTAGTTTTTGTTAGTATTTCTAAAAAATTCCTGGGGGGAGAATCCCCCCCAGACCCCCCTTCTGGGGTTGGGTGTTCAGCATGTGTGCCTTTTTATATAGTTCAGCTTTGATTCCAAAATCTCATTAAACCTTTTTTTAAATCATACTTTAGTTCTGTGAAGGGATATAAGGGATATATTCACTGTACTAAACTTTAATTAATAATGTATGCTGAAAAGCGTATATTACAGCATGATTTTTTTGTTGAATAGATTTGAGTGCTTCAAAATGTTGGGTGTATTGACCAAGTAAAAAGTGGGTCCCGAGGCCTGACCAGTTGAGAACCACTGTTCTAGAGTACCCTGGAACCGAAGGAAACTCTGAAAGAATACGCCCATTGGCTACAAATCAATATATGATTGGTTGATTAAACTGTCATTCCAAACGCTCTCGTTCAGTGCAACGGCCAGGGCATTCTATCAAGGATATAGAATACCTTGGTTATTATTATTCTACCCAGAGACCCAGAAAAATATCTGATTGGTTGCATTCTTTTTCTAACACAAAACCACTGAAATGCGTAGTGCATGGTCCGAGAAGGACAGACCAATCAACGTAACACTGTAATACTGTATTACAGATCAACAACACAGATACGATTCTCATTTATTCATTTTATTTACATTTTATTAAATGTTATTTATATAATTAAATCGATTTTTTGTTTGTTTTATTTGAGGTGTTCCAGGGTATTCTCTGAATACCTTGAAGGCCCTGACGGTCACCACTGATACATATATAATGCATAATGCAAATACTGTAGAAGTGTATTCAACCCACTCACAGTTTTATACACTGAGATTTGTTGCAGATTTTAAAAGAACAGAATGCAGATTTCTCTCACATATCTGTTAAAATCTGCAGTCAGATTAAATTATTCATCTATCTTGATAAATTGCTGTATTTAGGTTCATATACTGCTATAGAATGCGTGTGAAACAAAACTCAACTGTTACAAATTGGCAACATTTGTTCCACTTATTTGAAAGATTTGATTTTATGCATATTTCTAAAAGTTGGGACAGATAATTCAAATCTGAGTGCTGAGGGAGACCCATTTCTTTGCATAGTTTTTGATGTATAATTGAAAATTGATTTAGATAGTGCTAGATTTAATCTTTAATGTGTATCAGCACCCATTCATTTATTCATGCAAATACATTTTTAAGTTATAATCCAATTTAAAAGCATTTGTGAATGGTTTTCTAATGACTTGAAATCCTTTATTCTTTAATTTGCCATCACACTTGATTTCATAGTTTAACTCGAGCCCATGCACTGCAGTCTGTGCTCATAAAAGCATCAGCTATGATGTCGGCTTTCTCATAAAAACTGATTCTGAGCAGTCTGTGGAGGATATGCTGTATCTTTCAGATCCCATTTCAAAAATAGATTTTCTTAAATAATTGGCTTTTTATTTGTATTGTTTTTTCATTTTGGCAGGATGTCTGTTTTGTTTATCGTCCTTGTTCAGGCAAACAACACTCCTCCATCGCCAGATTGATGCCCTTACTATGCCCAATTTCTGCCCTTACCCTTGTTGTGGAGCCAATACATCCAACCAATGCCCAGAAAATATTTTTTCCATCCCTGCTGCAGTTCACATTCCTTGCTTGAAGAGTTTATAATTTCAATATCCAAGGATGATCTTTGGATATGGGCCAATGCATGCCTCAGCATGATTTTCACTAAAGCAATCTCAATACTGAGCACTGTATGACTTCTGAAGGTCTGGAAAGAATCATGTGAGATAGCAATGGCAGGGAGAGTTCTGGCGATTTCACAGAAACCTTTTATGTTTATCACCTTCTAGTATCTAATTTCCTGCATATAACTTAGTGGGGGGCCTTTTTTTCTCCACCTACATATGGATTTAAATGATCTCTTTAAACCGAATACAATACCCTTCCCATCTATAGCCTCCCATGTGGTGTTATGGCTGTATGAGTCAGAGCAAAACCAAGCATAGACAGTAAATCTGAGTGTGTGTGCTCTGCATTAGAGGGCAGGCGTGTTTTGTACGGCTTCTGAGAATGTCAATCAGTTTGTCCCCCGACTGAGCCAAGGGGCTGCTCAGATGTATGATTCTTCAAGGTGTTTTCCCCCTTCAGTCAGCTGGAGCCGCCATTAATGCTAGAGGACACATTTGGCTGTTGGACTCCCGAGGCTCCTCCTGCCACACCACAATGCTTGACTTGGCAGGGGATATACTGTGAATGTGTGTGTGTGTGTTTGTCTGGGAGTCTGGTTCGGGCACAGTGGTAGAGGCTTGTAAGTATTCTTCTCAGCTCCCCCCTCCAGCTCCTGTGTGGCAGAGGCTGCAGGCAGTTAGATCTAGATTGAGAGAGGAGGCTCAGTCAGAATACAGATGTTGACGAAGCTCGGCACACACACACACACACACACACACACACACACACACATACACATACAGACACAGTATCCCTCTACAAAATCCATAAAGCGCCTTGTTTGCCTTTTCTATACACATCCAAAATACCCGTGTACTGCATATGTAACTGAGACAACTAACAACATAGTTCATTGTTTAAACATAATTAACCGGGGCTTTCCAAAATGACACACATCGGCTCGGCTGCACTCCCACATGCACACACTTTCCTCACCTGGGTCACCACACTGTCGCATACTGCACCACTGCTCTTTCCTGGGTGTCAATATTAACACAGTCACTTGATGGGGGCAATCAGGCACAGAAGTAATTGATTTATGTTTAATAGTGTTTCACTCAGGTGACACAGGGTTAATTACCCAAAAACCCTTCAGTTCCCTCGAGGTCAGAGGGTAACCGACTGTTAGATAGCTGTGAATACAATCATCTTAAGAGAAACCACTTGTAGTCAGATTATCTTTTTCTTCAGTCATGGAAAATGGTGGCTGTGAGGTTTCATGCACCTCAGGAAGAGAAAAACACATTATTATGTTACATATTGCTGACCTTTCTGAAGAAGAAGCATTTCAGCTACAGGCCTCTTCTAGGCGGGTAGCTTTTGACCTTTTAATAAAGACATGACCCTGGTTTTCCTGTTATCACTTTGGCCAGTTGGGGCAGAAAGCCACATACCGTACAGGGTCATCACTCCTTGACCTTTGCAGCTGGTTTAAATAATGTATTGCTGAAGAACACAAGGCATGCCTTACTAATACGTACCCATACTATACCAACCTGGACTATCGATAGTTTGGAGCTGAGTTGTGGCTCCAGGAGACACAGAGAAATATGTCTATAGATGTGTCTCCGGAAATAAAGATTATACTTAGGGGGCGACTCACTGACATATTTGACCTAAAACTGAAAAGAGAGAAATAAGGTATTGGTTGAAGTATGCTGGCTTCAAATGTTTGCTTTTTTCTCTGGGGCTATAACCAATGCAGTTTGTTGCCAACATACTCCAACAAAATAAGAATTACAAATAAAGCACTACAGCTTTGTTATAGCACTTTAGTTCCCAGTAGTGAATAGCTAGTACAAACAATACTACCCATCAGAGGCTGTTGGATCTGATCTATTGTCCTGATTCTGCTGCTGTCGGGCAGGAAGGACACAGGTGAGGAACAGCACGTTTTTGTTGTAATTACTGTAGTTACAGTAATTTGAATCTGGTACACTTAGAACTGATTGCTCCCAAATACACTGACAATTAATTTAAGTACAAAATATATATAACTGGATGGTCAAAATATACAAATATGCCACATCCACAAACCCATCAACCTCAGATGTGTGTGACTGTCTTTCTGCTTCTGAATTATTTCACACACCTCAAGTTGTTCACCAATATGATATTGTTGGGGATACATCCATCGTCTTCTCTTATTCTTCCTTGTACTACAGTAATTGCCCTGTTGTTGTGATTCTTCACATATCCTGTTCCAGACAGTTTATTTTAGAGACAGAGCCTCTGAAACTGTTCAGGTCCTCAGACAGTCTAGCACAGATTCTTGTCATATTTCTATCAGCTGCTGCATTCATGGCCTTCCTGTCCTGCCTTGTATATTGTGCTATCATGGCCCCGGTTGTCACATTACAGTTGTGGCAACACTCTGGAAGTGACACATATCTCGCTTCCCTATGTCAGATGTTGTTTGGAAATACAATGAAAGTGAAAAGAACATGTCAACACAGAGTGGTTTGTGGTAAAATGGTGTGCTTGGTTTCAAACAGATGCCCTTCACACCCAGGTTTATTATATTATTTATATACAGTATGTAAGCTGCATTTTATCTGAAAAGCTATGAACCTGTACTGAAACAGATGCTTGGCAGTAAGCAAACTACTCCTGCTCTATCAGCTGTTATTGTCACGCCAGGAAGGAAAATCCATTCTTTTAATAATACATTCTGCAGATTTGTTTGTTTTTTACTCTTTAATATGAATTGTAATTTAGAGATGGGTTTGAGGTTAGGTATATAAACAGCGAGTAGTAGCATTAAAGCTAGTTATTGACTAATCTGTTTCTCAGCTGGATAAACCTGAGACTGGCTCATACCAAGCAACAACTGAGATGATTGTTTTCCCAGGCTCATGGTGGTTTAACAATTTTTAACTCACTCATGGTTTCCTGTCATAAGTTAAACAGAAGTTCTTTCAAAATGGCTCTCTGGTCTGTAGGTGATTTCTTTTCCAGATCTTAAAAGAATCCCTGCAACCGTTGACTTGTATACCAGCTCAATTTGTATTTTTCTAAAACACATTGCTGTAGTAAACACTTATTATTTGTTATTAAGGAATTCATGAAAGGGAAGAAATAAATATAAACATAAACTTGTTAATGTTAATTCAAAAATACATCTTTTCAGACCTGATCTGACAAATAAAGTAATATCGTATCGTATCGTATCGTATCTTAACTTCTGAGTCTATTTAAACCCATTGATGATTCTTCTGATCTCCCCTAACAAGTTTCAATTAAAAGTGAGTTATTTAACAATTTAAAATGTAATGTTTAATATCTGGATAAAAGTGATTTTATACAGGTACTCTAAATCATTAAAAGAATACTTGAGTTACTTCTCAAGCAAAAACAATGTTGGATATATGAATAAACATACAAAGCATATGAAGCACCATGTGTAGATGTGAGGTTTATAGTAAGTAAAAGGATCAAAGTAAAGAGGTAAGAACTATAGAGAGAGCAGAATGTCACATGATGTAGATACAGATGCAAACCTTGTCTGAATACAGAATAAGCTTTCTGCTACAATATAGATGAGAAACACAGAGAAGGGAATGAGTTTCCCTGCAGCAGGAGGTAAAGGCGGCCAGTTTGTGAAATAAGGAAAGCAATGAAAGTGTATGCCTGTCACATGATTTCAGCTTTAGTCTACAGGTGAAGCACAGAAAACAACATGATGAAGAATAAAATGAAAGCAGTCGTATTAATGTAAACAAGTTCTAAGAAGAGAGGGCAGAGGTTTGATATCTTGTCACATTATCGCATTTTCATAAGGGACAATTATATCTTATATGTCTGGCTGCTACTGGGTAATATAAATTGTCCTTGAGTGATTCTATTACAGTATCTGTGCACCATACATACAGTGTATAAGCAGTCATCCTATACCGCAAAACTGTAACCTTATGTAGGTATCTGCTGGATTAAGAGTCATTTAAAAAATATTTTCATCTGATGAAAGTGGCATTAGGCTCAAAATTAAGTATTAGGCACCAAATGATACCCAGAGAAACCATTATGTGTCACTGGTGATATATAATTTTGATGCACTTACAGGTCAAGTTAACACTAGAATGTTAATTTATGATAACATGATATGTCATCATGTCACGTGACATGTCTCGTCTGCTCTTTGATGGAGTCGATGTGCAGTTTTTATTCTGACCAATTCCTCTTGTCAATTTCTATTTTCCTATTTGTGATTACCTAGAAGGTTGTGGACGGTCTTCCAGTTGAAAAAGTGTCACTCTACCCAAAATCTCTTTTCAATATCAAATATGGCCAAAAAACAACAAGTATTCTAGTCCACCAAGCACCAAGGCTATGGTACTAAAATCATCAAATCTATTCTTAGACTGTGATATGTAATGCTTGAATATTTTTGTCAAAATATTTGTACAAGCAATGGTTATAACGAAACCTTCAAACCAAGTTTTAACTGTTCAAATCTAAACCACGGCCTATGAGTATTTCAAAGATAAGTGCAAAGATAATTAGTTGAAGCTTTACTCTGAAATGGTCAACCACTGTCTCCAGCACCAGCTCGGATTTTGGCCCACTGATTTTCTATTGCACACAACAGTGAGTCCCATTACATCCCAATTACACAGGAATAATCATGTCCGTTTAATTGAGATGATCATATCCTTCATTGGAGCAGTCCCTGTAGATACATTTCTTTCTAATATAGTTAATTATTCTGCTATTTAGCACACACCAACACAAAGCATCTAATAATCAACAATAGAGCACACGTCCCAGTATGGAAATTAGCTTATTTGTATCTTGTAGTTAACCCCTGAACTGTTCTCTCAAGGCCTATCTAAAGACCTTTAAACGTCATTGAATTAGAATAAAAGTGGTGCAGACACTAAAATCTCCCACTTAACAACTTGAATGTTTAGTTTAAATTGGATACAACAGGATTTTTAGCACCTCAGTGAAGGATATGCCAGAGGCTACGTACTGTAATAAGAGTGTAGGAGTGTTAATCCAGAATGCATATTAGTCTGTAACACGATATGTTATGAGTTATAGAGAGCCAATACTGGAGATACACACTTTCCCCTTTAAAGCAACATTTCTGGCAACCGCAAATATAATGCCAAGGCTAAACCATTTCAAAATGTACAACACAATTGATGGAAAACAAGACCACCAAGCACATGGTGCATGTTAATAACACCACACAGTAAGCAGGCAAAAATGCAAGTAGCAGTCTGCAGTTAATTGTGGAGGTGGAACTTCCAGCTGTGCTGCTCTAACAACGCACAATTTTCCACAGGGGGAAACTATTGATGTGCTCTCACACGTGTGCGTGCATAAAGGAAAAGAACAAAAAACAGCACCAAATTCAGAGAATGTACTGTTATGGCAGTGTTTGTATTGAAGCTCTGATTGGCTGCACTTCATTCAGTAGCTGTTCATGCGTGAGGCCTTGAAGGTAACAATCTGCAGAAATCAGGCAAGGAATTTACCAGGAATGTTCTGCACCTGCGTCCCAGTTACAAGGCATTTGTTTTTTCTGATTTTCCACTGAAGATGTCTCCACATAATGACTTCTAAAGCATTTAATTACCATGTTTAAAAAGAAAAACACACACAATTAACATTCAGTTTACAGTTGAATGTTAGTTTCTGGTTGCCAAAATAACAATCTCTCTATTCTGTTGTCTTTACAGGTATTCCAAGGTAACTTTGACAACGACACGCACCGAAAGAACGTGTTGGATCCCCCCATCTACGCTCGGCTCCTCCGGATCCTTCCCTGGTCATGGTACGGCAGGATCACTTTGCGTGCAGAAGTACTGGGATGCACAGAGGAAGAGTGAAGTCCTGTCTTCCATCTTTCTTGCCATTTCCCCCCCTATCCCGTGGCATACTGGGATATCTCTCCCAGTATTTCAAAAATAAACTGTGCAACCTGTAAAAAGAAATCAATTTCCAATGGATTTTTCAAGAATACGTGTTTGGTTGTGGTGGGTTGCTGTTTGTTCCTTTTGTACAATGATTTAAAACCTGCCCTTAACCCACTCTTGTCTTTTAGTTTCCTCTTTAAAGCGTGATCTTTGTCTTTTTATTCTCCTCAAGATTTACCATCCTGTTTGGAATGAACTTCTGTAATATATGTGGGGGTGGGGTGGGGTTGGAGTCGGGGGTTCTTGCTGTGGTTTCATCCTGTTGCCATGGAAGCTATTAGTACAGTGTCACTTTTTAACAAACATGTGAAATCTGTCTGTTGTGCTTCATTGAACATTATTTACCAACTTCATACCATTACTAAACTTTCTAAAATACCATGTAGAGATCACACCGTACCGCATTATCAAATATATTTTTACTTTGATTACGACACTTTCCTCAAGCCATGCTTTAACCCTAATGAACACTGACATTACTACATCAATCAAAACACTATTAATGCTCTTGTATTATATGTAAAAGTCAAAAAATTGCATGGTGCGTAAATTATAAATGTATATTATGACAAATCATTTTAAACCTCTAGCCCGGGGAACAATGGCTTTGATTTAGGGACCTATTTGTATGTGCATTTTTCAATAGTTCTGAAACATTACAACACACTGCAAAAGCTTACTGAAGATACCCGAGTGAGACAACAAAAGGCCCTGCAGTTTAACGTTTACTGCAACACACTGAGGCTATCTCCAGTTGACTTGTCTTACCGCTCTCATAAAGAGCTCCATTTTTTATTTGTGTGATTAACGCTCGATTTTTCTAAGATAATTGGATTTCTTTTTTCGCTTGTTCTTTTTTGTATTTATTTTTGATTTATTTGTATCAGCTGTCAGATGCATAAGATCTGTGTTAAATGTCTTCGTGTTGTCTTGGAGATCTAACTTGTATCAATTACAAAGCTCAGGATAGATGTAATATTAACCCACACATTTATCATTTTTGGCCACCTATTTAAATATGTCTGTATTATTATTTTTTAAAAAACGTCAAATGAGTGAGAGCCGTTATTTAAACCATCTCCTTAAATGCATAATTGAAATATTGAAAGCAGTTATTTTCTTTATTAACCCCTTTGGTACGATACATAATAATTGTTAATTAAATGTACCTTTTTGTTTTTCAAAAAAGAGCAAATGTTCAAGATTAATAATATATGAAAAAATGCTATCTCAACCTACAACAATGATGAACCGTAGTAACAGTACAGAGCTCTAAAGTAAATATTGACAGCCTCTTTATTTCAGGGGATCTGATTTTTAGTCTCATACGTGTATTACAGATGATATAGTAATGAAATATAATGTGAAATGAAATTAATTTTAGAGCTTGTGGGTATTTGCACATGACGTGACAACAACTCTGCATGTTTAAATGGTTTCATGGAAAATACGTTTCTGGGGATAAAGATGCCGCCATACCATCGCATCAAAATATCCTAGTTGTGCAGTTTCCAGTGTGTGGATTCTGCTGTTGGCTGCAGTAAATGAACAATGATGCTTGACTAGTTTAATAAATGGAAGCAAACAACTACCTGAGGCATAGCAGCGGTGTCACAGCCCTTTTCCACATGGTTTAAAAATAGGCCTGGATTACTCTAGTGGTTCCCACTCAACTAGTTTACTCAAAGTGTCGAGTGCTAGAACAACAGCTGAAGGGGGGTGCTTTTATGCTTTCAGACACTTAACTATCCAATCATTCCATATTGTAGAAGTACCATGTATTTGTTCCAAGATTGCAGCCCATCCTGAAAGAAACACTAAGAAAAAACATATTTAATTTGATGCACCAAAGTAATTTTGGCTGAGTGCCATTGTTCTTTTCATCACTTTATATTAAAATCAAACACTTTTAAACTTAATTCTAAAAGCACAGCAAAGAACACACCAAGAAAATGTGTCACCATCACAACATTTTGTTGCTAACTTTGTATTGTTGCGTGCTAGGGCATTTAGCGCTGTCATGCCATCAACATGATACTCTTTGTAGGCAGGAAACCTTAAAAACATAACAAAAGCATATTTTGATTGTTATCTGGCTGATTGAAACAGAGTATAGCTTTTATTCTGGTTTAGCAAAGAACAATGGGATATCTTTGGAAAAGTTCACTCATGTTGCATTGCCAAACTTCAACTGTACAATGTAAATTACACTGAAAGACCTTGCTGTAATTACCAATATGTGAAAATTGTAATTGGTGTGAATCAGTGATTGTCATTTCTTAGGTTCATGGACAAAGGATACGCATAAACACATTATTTTGTGCACTCTTGAATTGTTTATTGCTAAATAACTAGATCTTGGCCAGCATCTGCTCTGATTGATCTTTGTAGCCAGCTTCCTGTCAGCAGGTCTGCTACAAAGCTTTGAGGAAGTTTGCATGATGTATGAGTTTGAACAGTATAACAAAGACGTCCCAAGGCGCATTATGTTCTTGCATATCATAAAGATCTAATAGCCTTTACTTTGTACTAGCCATTAATTGTCTTGTGCATTGTAAAACTTTATCTCCCAAGTTCAAAAAGGGGAGCAGAGTGGAAACTCATCCTGTTGTTGTATTTCTGTGTCCGCTGTTCACAGAATATTTCTTACCTCCTCAGTCTGAGTGTCAATCATGATCTAGAAAACATACGTATTATAATGCTGGTTAAGTTCAAGCCTGAAGAGGAGAGTGATAAACTGTGTACAGTCAAAAAATGTGTTGCTTCAAACAAAAGCTCTTTCAGTTTGACAAATAAAAACATATCTGTGAAAATGTTTGCTTTATTTGAACGTCTGATAACGTATTTTGTAAATGTCTTGATACAAAATGTATTATTTATCAAACCCACCATTTTCTCAGTCCAAACCACCTACACTGAGATGTCAAAAATGCTAACAGCAAATAATAGATAATATCAACAGCTTTATTATTTCTAGTCTTCTGCTGTTAAAGCTCAAGTCACAGTTACCACTAAATATTATTTTTCTTAACAATGTATCAACTAATATCAGATTTTTTCGCATTTCACATTGTGGCTTTATTCCTATAAAAAATGGCTAATGTGACACAAATAATGAATGGTAAGTCATACAAATGGTAAAATTAGGGCAGATGCTATTTACACCCGGGTGTCCGTAGCTAACAATGCTATTTACACCCGGGTGTCCGTAGCTAACAATGCTATTTACACCCGGATGTCCGTAGCTAACAATGCTATTTACACCCCGGGTGTCCGTAGCTAACAATGCTATTTACACCCGGGTGTCCGTAGCTAACAATGCTATTTACACCCGGGTGTCCGTAGCTAACAATGCTATTTACACCCGGGTGTCCGTAGCTAACAATGCTATTTACACCCGGGTGTCCGTAGCTAACAATGCTATTTATTTACACCCGGATGTCCATAGCTAACAATGCTATTTACACCCGGATGTCCGTAGCTAACAATGCTATTTACACCCGGGTGTCCGTAGCTAACAATGCTATTTATTTACACCCGGGTGTCCGTAGCTAACAATGCTATTTACACCCGGATGTCCGTAGCTAACAATGCTATTTACACCCGGATGTCCATAGCTAACAATGCTATTTACACCTGGGTGTCCGTAGCTGGGTCAATATCACTATAAAGTAACTTTGGTGTCCCCATCAGAATCCCTCAGTTATCATGAAAATGTAGCAGAATAATGAAACTCTGAGGTCTTATTATAAAAGGCCAAACATTTACACACATATCAGCACAATGATAAGTCTCTTGAAATGTGTTTTCTTCATTTTATACCTTATTTTTTCATTGGATGTATGTGATTTTGGCATTTCCCACACACTGCTCTGCTAACTACAGTGTGTGTAATAAGTGGTTAAATCATACTACATTTAAAAAATAATTATATGGTTTTATTGTCCACAACGAGTTATTTGATAAAGCGAGTCATTTTGATCATGTATATCAAGGATCGCCAACTACATTTGTCCAAGGGCCAAAATGTATCCAATATGGCAAAGTTTCCAAGTGGCATTAAACTTGGCTAAATTAGCTGCGTTAGCTAATCTTAGAAGAAGTCTGCGTATTTGGACCATTTCATTTGAATATACAAACAGTGAGAAAACATAACTTTGTCGGACAGGGTATATTTTGTGTTTATTGTATCTTTACCTTGTTTCGTTATTGAAGATGTTGCGCGCCCTCTGGACTGTCGTGAATCCTGCTTTTGAGCGTAGGCGTGTCACACTCGCTTTACGGCATGAAGTGATGATGTTTACGTTTTTTTTTGGGTGGTTGTAAATAGCTGAATAGCTGCCGTGTGTCTATTTTCACCCGGGTGCAAATAGACACTCCGTAAATTTAGCCCTGAACAATCTTTGTGCTCCAACAAAATGAGATTAAACTAGGGAACATCTGGCAAACAATAATGATACTTTCTGTCAGCTGAATACTGTGTTAAATATTACTTGCTTATAAAGGCTACTTGATTGATGACCTAAAGTTGACTGAAAATAATAGCTTGCTTCAGTGAGAGTAAGATCAGAGTATTTGTTTGCTCTAAATGTACAAGGAGCAACCAGTTCGTTGTCTACATTAAGACTGAACATTGGGAAACTGCTATATTACCTGTTAGCTTGAAGGTCAACATTTTTTTATTGCATTGTTGATTTTTCTTTATGATCAATATGTGCTAGAGTATTTTGGTGCTCCAGAGAGAGTTATTAGTCCCCAAGCGCTGACTGGCTGCAGGTTGTATTCAGTACATTTATATATACTGTATACACCTTCCCAAAATGTCAAGCTATTTCTTTAAATACAAGAAAGTTATCTCTGTATTGCACCTGACAAGCACAGGGAGGTAGGCCTGCATAATAGTTTCCTCACGTATAGAGGTAAAGGCTTTCAAAGTTTACATGCAGTGTTATTGAAATTGACTGTTTCATTATTTACGGTACAGAAGTAACAAACGAAGCAGCAGCAGCTTTTAGAATTACCGTTATGCACTTTGTTAAATAAGTAGAAGTTTTAAAATTATAAACTGTAAAATGTAGAGGACCTGTTTACAACTGAGTGTTAATTGAAAGGCTTACTAATACAGTATGCAGCACTTTTTGTAGTTATGTTTAGTGTTCCCAGTGCTGCTGGTGCGGGTCATGCTGCTCATCATGTTGCCAAAAGAATAAAATAATGGCACCCTTAGAGACTCCCTTCTGTGATGTGCTACATCTTCCCTCGCTCTAAGCTCGCTCCTGTTGTTAGCAAGTGTAACCCACTTTTTTAGTGTCATAATTACAGTCTGTGGTATTTCAGCAACGTTATTGTGCATTAGGTCCATACAGCTCTATATTCACATTATAAAACACATATAAACATACATTGCTTTCTCAGCTCAACATTATCATAGTACAAAATACTTACAAGACTGGAATACTATGAGAAATTATTATGAATATACGTTTACTTTCCATTTGATCTGCAGTAAGGGTCAGAGAGGTTGCCATATGTACATTTGGTTATATAAATAAGACTTATTTTACTATATTTTACTTTAGTCTTTGCACTGTGGACCTGTACTCCATCGGACTTGGCGCAGTGTCAGCATGGTTTCACCAAATGGAGCTGCTTTCATTGAATTTCTTTGTGGTGCAATTGCCAGTTTTTGTGTCTCAAATGAGTTCCCACAGTTTTGGATCCCAGTGTGAGGCGGAGGGTCGACACAGCGGCTGGAGTGATTCTGTCATCAAAGTGTCAGTGCGGCGAGAGGTAATTGCCTCCTAACTGAGGGGAGAGAAGCTACTTGGCAATTAAAAGCTGATTAGAAAACAATCAGTTTAGCCTAGTTGTCCTTTTTATCAACGCTTGATCGGTTACGTTTCTACATTCAAAGTGACCACTTTTTACTTTGGAGAGATTTATTTCCTCTTTAATGGATGTTTCCTGTGTGGCATTGTGCCTGCATCAAATCAATAGAGAACACAATTTGTTTCCACGTAGATGTTGTGTCTAGCAGAGGATAGAGAGAGAATACATAAGGAATAAGGAAGTTGCAATACATTTCTCCTATCCATCTATCTATCTATCCATATATCATCATCTAGCTATCCATATATCTATCGTATCTATCTATCTATCGATCTATCTATCTATCGATCGAGCGACGAGCCAGAGAGATAGAGAGAGCGAGCAGCAGCGAGCGAGCTAGCGAGCGAGCGAGCCAGAGAGCGAGCGGGAGCGAGGAGCGAGCGACGAGCCAGAGAGATAGAGAGAGCGATCGAGCTAGAGCGAGCGAGCGAGCGGGAGCTATCTAGCTATCTATCTATCCAGATATCTATCTTATCTATATCTATCTATCTACCCATATATCTATCTATCTATCTATATATTTATGTATCTATCTATCCATCTATCTATCTATCTATCTATCTATCCATATATCTATCTATCTATCCATCCATCCATCCATCTATCTATCTATCTATCTATCTATCTATCTATCTATCTATCTATCTATCTATCTATACATACATCTATCTGTCTACAACCTTCCCTGGTTTCTTCATCTAGTTTCAAGATTGTTTTATTTTTATGCAAAAGGCTTTACTGTACTAAAACAACCTCACAATGTTTACCATCTCAATTTCAACATTTGTGTAGTTTATCATTTTATTCTGACCTTTCTTTTCCCCTTCCAATTTCACTTAATTTCTATGTGTTCATGCCAGGAGCATAGCTGCGATCAAAAGGCAAGTAATATGTATTCTGGTGACCCACTGATTAAATGTAACTTTGCAAACTGATTAAATAAGTCGATAGGTTAAAGCCTCACTGCGCTGTATAAAACTGAGGCGCAAGATGAATGTCCTCCTAAGACACATTCATTTACAAAACCGCCTCAGAGAAGAGAGAATTCTTTTTCACTAAGAAAAGAATAGTGGTTTGATGATGCTTAACATTTAACGAGGAGCTTTTGTATGTGATAAATCTTATTAACTATCTTGTTGACACAAATGAAAAATGTTGAATTTAATACATACTATACATAAATTAGTTATAAAAATACATAGAACTTAATAATATTGAATATACAATGTCTTCAGGAATCAACACATCCTCTCAATTTATGCACAGCCCGAAAGATATTAAAAGATATTAAGAGTGGCACATAAAGCTTTAGATGGGTTATTTTTAAATGAAGAGCAGGAAATAAAATATTCAAAAAGGGTCAGTGTTATCTTGGGTCTCTCCGTTTAAAGTATCTTTTTTAAAGTATTTGTAGAAACACATACATATTAAAGGTCGTGTTCCCCTGGAGAATGTGTCCACCCCATATGCTGTAAAGCAGCGGTTTTCAAAGTGTGACGCGCGCCTCCCTGGGGGGGCGCCAGAGAGCTTCAGGGGAGGCGCAGCGTGAGAAAAAAATAACGAGAAAAAGATGAGTAAAGTGTCACTTGCACACTTTTGGCTGTATTTTTGGCGAGTTCCCCCAACTTGCCAAAAAGGCTGTAAAAGTGCTCATTCCCTTCACCTCCACCTACCTGTGTGAGTGCGGGTTTTCCGCATTGACTTTGATCAAAAGCAAGTACCGGTGCAGCCAGAGGATGATCTGCGTTTATTCCTTTCTACATTGAATCCCCGCCAGAGTCCTGCACGGGTCTGATTTTCAAGACCCGCTCCCGCCCCGCACCCGCGACGTGCAATGCCGAACCCGCCCCGCCACCCGCACATATTGCCAATTAGTTCCGCAAACCGACCCGACCCGTCGGCACAAGATCCGCAAACCGACCCG